GACGAATTTTCTTTGCTCCTCCATATTGTACATGCATAGTACATTACATAAGCTTAACACTATTGAGCTGATTTAATACTTATAAATTATGATTGCTTGGTCAAAGACTCTTCTTTTTATTCTTTTGACGAATCAATACAAGATTAATTCATTCTCTAATGCTTCTCCAAAGCAAACATGACACAGAGAGGAATTGTCATTGCTGGGACTCATTGAGGAGAGAAGTGATGTCAAAGTCGGAGAGGAATTAGATAGAGCTTGATCGATGATCATTTTCCAATTTTTTTTCCATTTTAGAAAATTCAATATCGATTTTTATTAATTGATATTTCTTAATTGTCACGTCATCAATCTAACGGTTAAAGCTTGCAATTGGTTGCCAAGGATAATTTGTTCATGAAATAGATGGTCAATGACCGATGCTTAAACGGTATAATGAGTAACCATAATGAAAAAATTGATAAACTAAGTGACCAAATGTGTAATTTTGCCTGTATCTACTTTTCTAATACAATTTGTAATGCAAATGCACTAAAGAATTATTGCTTTGCCAAATACATCTCACATATTAACATGCAATTAAACGACATGCACTTGTATAATCTTATATCTATATATACATTGAACCAAACGCCCCCAACATTGCTGCATTTCCAATGGCGTAAAAATCATGCTCAACGGTGTGGATCTCATGCACAATAGAATCTATATTGAGTTCATCATTAGCCAATGCATGGGCAGTATTTTTATAGGCTTGTGCTTGATCAATAATGATACTCGTTCCATAATTTTCTTCGAGAATTTTGACTGGAGGGTTTGTTAGTAATGGTGATAGCTTTCTGGCCTGTATTTCATATGGAAGATTCAGGATGATATAAATTGATAAGACTATACAACACACCATAAAAGATGATGAACTTGGAGAACCCATTTATCTAATATATTTTTCTTTTATTTTCTGGGTCAAAAGATATTCGAAGGTAAGGAAAAATACGGGTATTTGATTGATTTTTCTTTTAGTGAATGATTTCGGAGTGAATCAATCATTATTGTGATTATAAATTCATAAGGACCACATTAGTTTTTCAAGTACCAAGGGTTCGTTATTCTACCTTACAAGGTTGGTATTATTTCTGATAGTTATTTAATTACGATCGATTGTTCAACATGGGGAATAAGTTGAAAACTACATGCAATGAACACATCAGAGAAATTTTGTCTAACAGAGAACGGGAAAACTAATTATTGGAATTTATTTATTTTGTTAAACTTGACATACAATAATGAGAATTTTCATCTTATCTTTGCAACCATATAAGATAAACACAAGAACATCTTAACCAGATTAAAAACAAAGCATAATTTTCAAGTGATTAAAGTTTAAACAGTTACCATTTAAATCCGTTACATAATAAATGACATGTCTTTAAAATATAAAGGCTAAAACAAAAAAGGTTTGGGGACTCCCTCCAAATCCCTAAGACCATTCCTCCGTCAGTTTTGATTCCACATAATAATTTTCAAGCCACCCAATGTAGTCTCGGCTCTCCTCTTTTAATTCCCCTTTGAAATTGAGCTATATATCGAGTTAATGTGTGACAAAAATTGCCCAAAAAAACTAATTTTCCCCGCCTGCAAAAGCGATTGCAGCTTCTCCTCCCGAAATCTAAACGTTTCACTCGTCCATCTCACCAAAAAGAAAGATAAGCCAATGTATTTATCCTTTACCTAGCATTAATATCATAAAATTTAAGCGGGATTTCCACTCCCTTCTTCTTTGTTTCTACGAATCAGATTAGCCCATCAAAAGAGTAGGGGTTGTGCGCTCGTTATGAGGGGAAACGGCCACTCATATCTAGTTTCTCATTTTCAAGCGCCCAATTTCTTGTACCCCTGCTAGTTGTTTTAAATCTGGAATTTGGTAAAAAAATGAGATTGTAGCTAGGAACTGAGTTGGAGATGAGCTCTTTTGTTGTGGCGGCTTTGAAGATTAGGGGTTAGAGATGAGAGTAGATGTGAATTTCTCTAGCGCTTTTTCCTTGTCACCAGTGGAACAAGAAAGGTTTGGGGAGATGGAATGACTCAATGGCCATATATGTTCGACCGTTGAGCGAGAACGAGGTAAGGAAGCTCCTGCAACGAGCGGGGGAGGCGGCGAGAGAACGATTGTGAATCCGATTGGACCGAGACAGTAGATGGAGGATATGCGGCAGGTGATGGCGGGGGAGCAGGGTGGCGGGTTGACAGGGAAAGCGGCGCTGGTGAAGAAATAAAAGAGATATGAATTTTCGGAGACCCCCGGGGAGGAGGTTTTACCGGTATTTCAATAAGAATTTTATTTTATTTTTTAAGTGATCTCAAAAATAGTTAAAAATTGTAATTAAAAATTGCATTTCAAATTCAACGTTGGCGCTGATTGGATGTTCTTTTAAAAACTAATGGTCAACAATAATAAAATAATAGTTTAGGAATAATGGAATATTTGAAAAACATGACACGAATGGCATCTTGATCATAGTTCTGGTATAGTAGTGGGACTATAAGCTTTTATTTACCTAAATTATATTTACCTTATTATTTACTAAAGCATCTTTGCTTCGGATATATACACACTATGCATTGTTCGACCGAGAGCTCAAGCGAGTCTGGAAAGAAGTCACTTGCTCTTATTTCTGTACTAGCAAAGAACCTCTCGCTTGCGCTTTGCGGCGAGTGAAAAGCGATAATACTGCTAACATAGTTACAATTTGAATAGAAAATTAAATGTCATTGCGACTATAAGCTTGTATCCATATCTGAAACCCAAGTTCTTAATTGTGCTAAGGCAAACGCTACATTTTGCAGCACCTAAGATATGACATAAAGCTTGCCTCATATCAGCCCAAACGTATATTGCTTGCATTTTCGAATTATACATCTTTCAGCTACTAAACAATAAAATAAATAGAGGCATTGTAGTACCAAATGCGGAAATGAAAATGGGATTCTAACAAAAAATTCAAAGTAATGGAGAACAATTATTCGTTTACATTTCCACATCACATAGTCTATAGTGCTTCATGCTTACGTAAAGTCGTGAAAGACTGATCATTGAGTAAACCTAAAAATCACCACAAGATGAGAATGACAAGTATTACTTTGTCTGAATGGAAATTAATAATAACCAGCTTGTTTTACATTGTATGGCCAACATAGATATGAATTATTGTAGTTGATCTACTTACCAAGGCTAGCAATCAAGATCGATGGTGTTCATAGGGGTAATTTATAGAACACGTGAGGAAACAATGATAAGTTTCTTAAAAACCACTTAACTAAATGATTGAAATGGAAAATGAGAATTGTGTACATATTCCGTTTGTTCTTTTAGCATCAGGTAAAAAAATGGAACAATCCAATCCTCATATTTGGAGCAGTTAATCAATAGCAAGTGCAAGTCATTGTCTATTGCTACTGCTGCATTGGAATACAAAATTAAAAAGGAAAACTATATTATCAAACAAATTAACTATAATTATCCAAGACAACACAAATTAAGCTCAATCCACTGACACGTGCCATAAGTCAATCGAAGGCAGCATCAACATCAACTGTAATATCCTTGTAAACCTAAGAAAGAAGAAAATGGAGGAATGTAAATCGAGCACAAGGAGGGATGTGCATTAAAACTGCAGCAACTACTTTCACAAATTGTGACTTCAATCCATAACACAAATTGGTAGGTCTTTCCCTATCCTCTATGACAATTAAAATGTCGGGTTCCAAGCACTCATATTTAAAAGACTATTGGCAAGCATACTTATATAAGCAAAACTCTAATCTAAAAGCACATTCCAAACTTTGAGAATCCCCTAGGCTTTTTCTGAGGATATGTAATTAAGAAGCAGAAAATACTTATCTTAGCATCAATACATAGACAAAGAACTCTCAAAAAGATAGTCGGTTCAAAAACCTATTAATAGTTCAAAGTTGGTTAACCAATGGGAATTGAACCATTCGGTTCTTCTATTTGACTATGGTCCAGTTTTCATAACATTATATATTATATTCTTTTTGTTAACATGTATCCTATACACCATAAAATGGAAAGTGAAATCAAGTCATTGATAATTTGTGTAGTCACGTGAAAAAAAGAAAATGAAACTCGTGACTCGATAGAAAATGAGATTAAAAGACAAAATTATTAATTTCGGCCCTAAGTTGGCCAAAACCGAGTCTCATTGAGATTCGTAATCAATAATACTAGCATCCAATCCAAATTATCTCCAAGCCCCAAAACAATGACCCACCAACATTGATTGGTCCCACTTATTGGTAATTGTATGTTTGACAATAGCATGAACATCGAATTCTACCTCCAAACAAATAGCCAGATCTGTTGAGGGAAAAAGGTTATTCCCAAAACTTTTTACCTTTTTCCATTATATTGTAAAGACATGTCATGGTGTAACCGTTTATAAATGATAATTGTTTATACGTTAATCACTCAACAATCAGCTTGATTTTTTAATCTAGTGAGGTCGTTCTTATGTTTCTCTAACATGGTTGGAAAGATATGGGAAATTCTTGTATTTTATGTCAAGTTTAACAAAATACAAATTCATGCCCAATAATTAGTTTTCCAGTTCTCTCTTGGACAAAATATTTTTGATGTGTTTATTGCTTGTAGTTTGGAGCTATCCCCATGTTAAACAATTGATCGTAGTTAGGTTAACCATTAGAAGAAATACCCACCTTGTAAACTAGAGTAACGAATCATCATTTTTTTTCTTATAAATTTATAGTCAGGGTAATGATTGATTCACATCTCACAAATCATTCAACAAAAGACAAATCAATCAGAGAGCCATATATATCTTTCCTCATAGCCCTTTGAATCTCTTTTGATCAAGGAAACAAGAAAAAAAAATTATATAAATGGGTTCTTCGTATTCCTCATCATTTATGGTGTATTGTATACTCTTATCAATTCTTATCATCATGAATCTTTCATATGAAGTACAAGCCAGAAAGCTGTCACCGTTACAAAGAAACCCTCCGGTTAAGATACTCGAAGAAACTTACATGAAGAGTAGCATTATTGATCAAGCCCATGGAAATACTGACCATGCATTGCCTGATAATGACCTCAGTATTGATTCTGTTGTGCATGAGATCCACACTTGGGAACATGATTTTTACGCCATTCGAAATGCAGGAATTTTTGGGACCTTTGGTTCAATGTATATGTAAATTTGGAAGAAGGACATGATATTTAAATTTCATGTTAATATATGAGATGTATCTAGCAAAGCATTAATTACTTTCGTGCATTTGCATCGGAAATTGTATTAGGAAAGTAGAATAGAAGACATGTGTGATCGACTTTTATAAAGAACAAGTTTACAAGCACTCTATTTCTTTCAAATTTTAAAGCAGTCAAATACCTAAAAAAAAAATATTTAATAACATGTAATCCTATATTTCATCATTCTAATTACTGGGGATATCAATTTCGACCTGACCCGTTTTTCCGACCTTTTTGGCCTGTTTTGGGGCGGTTTTGACACGGGCATGGGTCCCTCTCGTCAACCCGACCTCCCCTGACCCACCCCATTCTCGACATGTTCTTGTGTAAATTACATGTTATCAATTAGCCATGGTTTCTGCTACAATTGTGCGAGTTTCAAGTAATAAAAAACCCATAAACTATGAACATCATTCACCCACCGCAAAATAAGAGCGACAGTGACAATCTCGTAGCCCTCTCTTCCACTCTTTTCAAGATTTCTCAAGCTTGAACCTTCCTCCAATCACGAAAGAGATGTTGATTCTGAAAATGCCATCACCACAACCTCCGGCAACAGCGTCGTTGATTCGAATCAAGGTCGAAGAAGAGCCAAAAAAACCACCACAATTGTTAATCTATGGTTTTCAAAAAAAATCATATATCAACATCCACATCGCCGAGTCACCATCATGTTAGCCCCATCACCCAGACAAAACCCCAAAACATTGAAGGTAGATTGACAATAAAATGTTCTAAAACTTCTGATTCTCGATGCCCAAACTAGAACTGTCGTTGCCAATCGCTTCAACCATTCCACCTCTTGTAATCTACACTGTTTCAATGATTTGGCAACGAAGTCGAATCTGGGGGAGCGAGGGGAAGGGAGATAGTGGAGGGAGAAGCAAGTTGGTCAATTCTTGGTGATGTGTCTACTGTCGATGGCCACTACTACTGTGGTTTACGCTGAGATGAGAGCGATGAGTCGGGCTCCCTACTACTTATTTATTATTACTTTCCAAACAAAGAATTCACAGATTCTATTCGATTTCCAAGTGATGAAATTGTAGTTTGTAATTGCCGATTAATTCACATATTCAATAAATTTGGGGCAATATAGAAAATTTATTCAAGGAAAAGAACAAATAATTTTACTAGAGGGCACGATTTGGTCTTTTTCCCTCTCTTTAAATGATAAGTTGACAAAAAAATTTAAGGAAGGTTATATTTTTGCAAACGGTGAATTGACAATTTGGTCTTTCCCCCTATCATTAAATGGTGAATTGATTATAAGAGGGTACGTTTGAGCAAAAAAATAGTGGAGGGGTATGTTTGCTAATTTGCAATAGTATAGGGGTATAAAATGCTATTAACCCTTTTTATATATTTGAGTGCATTTTACATTTGAAAGCAATTGAGTGTTTGTAAACTTATTCTTAACTAAAGTGGATCACACATGTTTTCTATTCTACGACTAAATTACATGTGTGGCCCTCGAGCAAAGCCACTATTCTCGTAGACCTCGTGTGCACGCTCAATTCACAAAGGCATCGGTGGCAAAGCTGTATTCATGAGTCTGTAACCGAGTTATGGTGGTGCCACAATTAACTAAAATCCCTCCACCATCAGAATCATCCAGATCTGAAATTCAGGTAAAAATTGACATCATCTACTCAACGAAGCTTATCACGTTCGATACAACATAGTAAAACATGTTGATATTGTGACTCTTCATCAAATTTTTCATCACGGAAGGCGAAGTTTAAACTACATAACAGGGGAATCGGTTAATCGCGATAGGCAGTAGGAGGACGAGAATTCCTTGAGCAGGTAGGTCAATGAGAGTGGGCCTCTGCCGACCCCAAAAGGGCAATGGTCTTGACGAACAACCTTTGCTTGTCGTGACATCCAAGGGAAATTTTGGATACACATTCGAACTGGCCAAGAAGACTTTCTTTTGCAAGCTTGACACCATTAAGGATATTGCAATGGGGATACTGATTGAAGCAATGACGAAGAGGAATGGTGACGAATTTTCTTTGCTCCTCCATATTGTACATGCATAGTACATTACATAAGCTTAACACTATTGAGCTGATTTAATACTTATAAATTATGATTGCTTGGTCAAAGACTCTTTTTTTTTTCTTTTGACAAATCAAGACAAGATTTAATTCATTCTCTAATGCTACTCAAAAGCAAACATGACACAGAGAGGAATTTTCATTGCTGGGACTCGTTGAGGAGAGAGTGAGGTCAAAGTCGGAGAGTGATTAGATAGAGCTTGAGCGATGATAATTTTCCAATTTGTTTTTCCATTTAAGAAAATTCAATAACGATTTTTATTAATTTATATTTTTTAATTGGCACGTCATCAATCTAACGGTTAAAGCTTGTAATTGGCTGCCAAGGAGAATTTTTTCATGAAATAGATGGTCAGTGACTGATGCTTAAACGGTATAATGAATGACCAATATGAAAAAAATTGATAAACTAAGTGACCAAATATGTAATTTTGCTTGTATCTACTTTTATAATACAATTTGTAATGCAAATGCACTAAAGAATTATTGGTTTGCCAAATACATCTCACATATTAACATGCAATTAAACGACACGCGCATGTATAATCTTATATATACATATACATTGAACCAAACGCCCCCAAAATTGCTGCATTTCCAATGGCGTAAAAATCCTGCTCAACGGTGTGGATCTCATGCACAATAGAATCTATATTGAGTTCATCATTAGCCAATGCATGGGCAGTATTTCTATAGGCTTGTGCTTGATCTATAGTGATACTCTTTCCATAATTTTCTTCGAGAATTTTGACTGGAGGGTTTGTTAGTAATGGTGATAGCTTTCTGGCTTGTATTTCATATGGAAGATTCAGGACGATACAAATTGATAAGAGTATACAACACACCATAAAAGATGATGAACTTGGAGAACCCATTTATCTAATCTTTTTTCTTTTATTTTCTGGATCAAAAGATATTCAAAGGTAAGGAAAAATACGGGTATTTGATTGATTTTTCTTTTAGTGAATGATTTTGGAGTGAATCAATCATTACTGTGATTATAAATTTATAAGGACCATGTTAGTTTTTTAAGTACCAAGGATTCGTTATTCTACCTTACAAGGTTGGTATTATTTCTGATGGTTAACTTAATTACGATCGATTGTTCGACATGGGAATAAATTGCAAACTACATGCAATGAACACATCATAGAAATGTTTTCCAACAGAGAACGGGAAAACTAATAATTGGAATTTATTTATTTTGTTAAACTTGAAATACAATAATGAGAATTTTCATCTTCTCTTTGCAACCATATAAGATAAACACAAAAACATCTTAACCAGATTAAAAACAAAGCACAAGCCTATGGAAATACTGACAGGCATTGCCTGATAATGACCTCAATATTGATTCTGTTGTGCATGAGGTCCACACTTGGGAACATGATTTTTACGCCATTGGAAATGCGGCAATGTTGGGGACCTTTGGTTCAATGTATATGTAAATTTGGTAGAAGGACATGATATTTAAATTGCATGTTAATATATGAGATGTATCTAGCAAAGCATTAATTACTTTCGTGCATTCGCATTGGAAATTGTTTTCGGAAAGTGGAATAGAAGACATGTGTGATCCACTTATATAAAGAACAAGTTTACAAACACTCTATTTCTTTCAAATGTTCAATCCAGTCAAATACATAAAAAATAATATATATATTATTTAATAACATGAATCCTATATTTCATCATTCTAGTTAGTGGGGATGTCAATTTCGATTTGACCCGTTTTACCAGACCTGTTTGGCCTATTTTGGGGCGATTTTGATACGGGCATGTGTACCTCTCGTCAACCTGACCTGCCCTGACCCACCTTATTCTCGACCTGTTATTTTCTAAATTACATGTAATCAATTAGCCATGGTCTTTGCTACAATTGTGCGAGTTTCAAGTAATAAAAAAACCCATAAGCTATTAACATCATTCACCCACCGCAACATAAGAGCGATAGTGACAATCTCGTATCCCTCTCTTCCACTCTTCTCAAGCTTGAACATTCCTCCAATCGTGAAAGAGATGTTGATTCTGAAAATGCCACCACCACAACCACCGGCAACAGCGTCGTTGATTCGAACTCACCAATGGCATTTTTAACATAGGTCTGGTATAGTAGTGGGACTATAAGCTTTTTATTTACCTAAATTATGTTTACCTTATTATTTACCAAAGCATCTTTGCTTCATATATATACATAGTATGCATTGTTCGACCGAGAGCTCAAGCGGGTCTTGAAAGAAGCCTCTTGCTCTTATTTCTGTACTAGCAAAGACCCTCTAGCTTGCGCTTTGCGGCGAGTGAAAAGCGATAATACTACTAACATAGTTTTAGTTTGAATAGGAAATTAAATGTCATTGCGACACCCTAACATTTGGGTTCCGATTCGACCAAAAAAAATGAACATTTTGATCGACTGTTAGGTACGAAAGCTCAAAACAAACCGATATGAATTTCATGACAATTTTAATTAAAGAGCTTTGGGATGGACCCGGGCCACAGAAACCGACCTTCTATTTTTCAATTCGGGCCTCTTTGCATGAGGGACGTCAGATGAAATCCATTTTTTCATGAGGACTCCTTAGATTGAAATATATATGGGTATATAAAGAGAGATGCGATGGAAAACATAGAGCTAAGAGCTTTCCACCGCCGCCAAGCCCAATCTCATCGTACTTTTCATTCCTTTGTTGAAACCTATGCCACTATAATCCCTTTCGATCCCATAACAAGTAGAGGCTGGTCACCGTAACCAACATTGATGATGAGGAGGGAGAGAAGCAGTGGCCGGTGAGTTCGGTGGGGAACCCAAAGACGGGACGACGAGGATTGTGACGAAAGACTACATTCACAAAGTGGGCGAGGAGAGAAACGCCTTGATGAGCGACATCCTGGCTTGGCGATTTAGTTGTATAAAACGTTCGACTTCATGTGCGGACCGAGTCGAGGTTGATACCCACGATGATAAGTCCGAGCGGTGATTGAAGAGGCGACTCGTGGGAAAGTAAGAACGTTGATGAAAGAAAGTGTGGCTGATCCGAGGTGGCCGATCGGTATGGTGATGGCGCTGGGGTTGGGGCTGAATTGGTCTATAAGGGCGATGATGATGGTGATTTGGTGACAAGGACAGAGCGGTTGGATTTGGCTGGCGACCTGGACGGGAGGTAAATATATTATTTTCGGTAGACAACCAGGAAGCTCCAAGGTGAAGGAGAACAAGTAAATGATGGTAGATCCTTGCAACCCTGGCGTTTGGAAGCATGTGCGCGTGTGCGTCAAGCGAGGACAAGCTCGACATAGCAAAGCTTGGCTGAAGTCGAGATTAACATCTATGAACTATATGCGAGGTACGCCGGCATGGCTAAGCATAAGAGATTCAAGTTCCATGGAGACCACGATGCAACCTCTTTACGTCGAGATTTGATTATGTGTTTGAGGTGAGTATAAAGGGGGTAAATTCTGTTTTTCGGACCTCACTTTGAAGGACTTCAGCCGTAAGACTAGCATTCATATCATCAACACTATGTGCTATAGGGAGATCAGCCATCCGAGCAACCATGTTAAGAACTTGGTTTTCTAAAGAGAAGAGTGTTTGATAAAAATCAGTGGCAATGTCAGCCTTTCCTTTCTCATCAGTGATCTACTCCCCATTATTATTACGGAGGCTTGTCACAAAGTTCTGTCTTCTACAAGCCCTGGTGACCGTATAGAAGTATGACGTATTCTTGTCGTCCTTCTTAAGCCACCGGATTCTCAACTTTTGCTGCCAATAAATTTCCTCAGCCTCCCATTGCCTATTCAACTCTGTCTCCAGAACCTCACCGCATCCCAATCAATTGGATGAATTGCCTTCACATGATCTATTTCTGCAAAGAGAATTAGTAGTACATGCCCTGCTCCAATCATAAAGAAAATGGTGGAGTTTCTTAAGTCTCTCCCAGAGTTGATAAATCGGTGATCCTTGGACTTCCACCTGCCAAACATAATTAACCATGGCCTTAACCTCCGGGTTTTCCGCCCAGCGAGCATCAAACCCGAAAAGAGTTCGGCTAGTCTGGATATAGGGTTTATCTGATAAGAGCAGAGCTCGGTGATTAATCCTTGGTCCGTGAAATGTTTGACAAGGGTATCTGGAAAGAGATCAATCCAGTTTTGGGAGCATAGAGCTCTATCAAGACGTTCACGAATACAGGTCGTACCCATACGCTTGTTTGTCTAAGTAAACTTTTCCCCTTGATAACCAGGGTCATGGAGGCCCAGATTATGGGAAAAATTGCGGAGAGTAGGATTGGGCAGCATTCCATGCAAGGCCGCCATCTTTTTCACTCTCGTGGAGAATCACATTGAAATCTCCTATCACTTCGTAAGGCAGGGTGAGCCTATCACAAATCTCATGAAGATGATCCAATTGATTAGCTCTTATTAACTCAATGCAACTTATGTAGACGCAAATCACAACATAAGAAAAATCTACTTCATTAATTTGAGTACAAATGTAGAAGTTGGAATGGAAAAGAACCGAAGCATTAACTTTAGGTAACCAAGCTACTATAAGACCACCAGCTGCATTAATAGCATCTACTAAGAAACAATGTGAAATATCCAAACCTAGACCCCTCATGTGATGGGAAACTACTCTCCGACACGATCTTGTTTTTTAAAAGAAAACAAAGTCCGGGTTATTAGAATGAAATAAACCGACAACTGTTTGGAATGTGAGGGATGACCCTTTTCCTTGCACATTACATACCAGAAGCCTCATTTATCGGATTGGGGCCACTCAAGGCTAGCTTCCTCCACCTTATCATCATTCTTCGAAGCTTCCACAAATTGTTTCTTGGGTGTGGGGGTTTTCTCCATCTCACCTCCCACCTCATCCAAAGGCCGTTTATGACCCCCAATAGCACGATCCAATATATTCTATCCATATTCATCTACCCTCGGGGTCATCCTCCCTTCCTCTCCTTTGGGACGGTGCACCACGTCCTCAAAAGTAGCTTCCTCACCATCAGTAGCAATGACCAGGCCGGTTTCGAACGCCGCAACCACTTGGCGAACATGCCCTTTGGTGTTACGGTGAACCTTAGCTCCAGCAGCAACAAGAGTGCGTTGTTTCAGCTCGAAGGTACTATCGTCGTCTTCCGAGAGGGAGGTTGCCGAAGCCGACTCGACTTGACCTATTGCATAGGCCTCATCACCTACGCTGGTTACACAAGCACCCACTGACGGGGGTGAGTTCAGAACCTCCTCATCCTAGCCTTCCCTTTCCAAAACCTTGGAGGGACTAGCCCCCCTTTTTGCCTTGTGTTTTGGGATCAGGACATCCCCCTCCATAGTATGGGTTTCAATACCTCGACTGAGGTGATTCTTCTTTCGAGCTTGAGTAGCTGTCCTAGTGTTACTCAGTGAAGACATCACAATCATCTTGGCCTTAGATTTAGCCGAGCCTCGAGCGCTACGACGATTTCATCTATCCTGAGCAATGGTTGTCGAATCACGTCCATGCATGGGAGAGCATGGTAAGTTCTTGATCAGCAGATAGAGTACGAGGCGCAGTGGTCAACTCCTTCTCCTAGAATGCGAAATAATCATCCGAATCCTCAGCCAGGATTAATCTCCTACGGTGGGCTGCCTCCTGAGTACCACGAACGTCATCAAGGGGGCCAGATTCTTCCATCCGTCGCAAGGAAGAATCGCTTACCGTCACTGCATCTCTGTCATGTTCAGCTCGAACTCGATCAACCTTGATAAAGTAGTCACATCAGTCAGGATTTGGTGGCAGGTTCCGCACCTGACGACCCGCCTGGAATCGAGGCGATTTCGATAAGTTGAAACCACGCGAACTGCCTCATCGCGCTGCTGGTTTTAGGTTCTCCCGATTCAGGGCTCCCCTTTCAATGCCATAAGACCGAGACGAGGGTTCCCCCTAAGGATTAGATTCGGCAGTTTTTGCTCCACATTTTTATCATCCAAATTCTTGGTATCTCATCCACGATTCATCCTTCCCAATCAATTATTGTTTTCGCGAACGTCCTTGTTCACCCATACAGATCGTCGACCTCCTACAAATGGTTGGTTGACATCCTCCTCATCATAAATATTCATTCCCAACTTTTTCGTGGACATGTAGGGTCCAAATTTTTCCTTACGAGTTGGAGGATCATATGAGCACTCACGCTGCAAATGACTCATCCGCCCACAGTGGAAGCAGAAGCTGGGCAGGTATTCGTATTTGAGGTTGACCCAAAAGCAGCCAATCTCCTTGCTTGCGGCCATCCATTGGGATCGCAATGGCTTGGTAAAATCAATGAGAGCTCTGAATTTCACAAAGTTCACAGCAGTCTCCTTGCAGGCGAACACACCTGTTTCTAGGACTTGTCCAATGGTAGTAGAGATAATTTTTTGGCCAAGTTGCTTGGTACAACAATCCTCTTTCACACCCCAGAGCTGGATGCGGAACAGGGCAATTGCCAGCTCTTC